AAGCCCTTCCTAATCTGGTCTCTCTGGCACCAGGTCTGTCCATTTCATAGGCAGTAGTCATCACTGACCTCTCCAGAGAGGGTATCTCAGAGTCACTTGCCCCTTGGTGCCAGGCCAAGAGCACAGACAGATAAGGCCAGAGCAATGACAGTTCATGGGTAAGAGGGTTCTTGCCCAACCTGATACAAACAGTCATCTTGGGGAGAAACTGGTCAAGCCCGTGGCCTCACTCCCAGCACTTTGGATCATTCATTCAACAAATGCTTGAGCACCTACTATGTGCCAGGCCATGCTCCAAGGTCTGGAAATACACACAGCAGTGAACAAAGTAGACAGTCTTTGGCTTCATGGAGCTGACATTCTAGTGGGAGAGAATTAACAAGTAAATACATCAGGAGAGAAAACGAGCTACAGAGAAAAATGCGGCAGAAAAATTGGGCTGCGAGGACTGGGGGACGGGGTGCTATTTTACACAGAACCGTTGGGGATGGACACTCTGAAAAGCTGACATTTGTACCGAGACAGAGGGGGCAAACCATAGCTGTGTGTGTGTGTGTGGGGAAATTGGTGAGTGCAAAGGCTCTGGGGGGCCGTGTGCCTGAGGTGTTGATGGAACAGCAGAGTAAGCAAGGCAGGAAAGGAGGGTACCAGGAGAGGAGGTCAGGGAGCTAGTGGGGAGACTTGGCCATGGAGCCTTGAGGGTCATCAGAAGGACTTGTCTCTCTGGGGACGGTACCACTAGGAGACGCTGAGGGGGAGAGGGCTACAGTGTGACTTATATCTTAAAGACATCTTTCAGATCTGGCTGCGTTTTCAGAGTAAACTACAGGGGACGTATCGCAACAAAAAAATCAATGAGGTGACCGTGCTAACCCACAGGAGAGGGAGGTGTAGGGCAGGAAATAGGGGGAGAACCTCTCTTCTTTCCATCTCCCGTCAGCTCACAGCCACAGTGCATGCAGTTCTGGTCTCTTCGTCTTTTTCCATCTGTCTCTATCTCGGGACCCACCACCCAGCCTCCACCCTGTCTTCCTACCTCAGCCCCACCAGGAGGCCCCCACACCTCACAATACTGAGGGCTTGTGGGCTCCTCCCCTCAGCCCCTGCCCCTCTCAGCTCCACAATTTCCAGACCAGCCATCCAGCTCTGGGAATTCCAGGTTTCTGCAATGTGCTCTTTTCCTCTTCCCCAAATAATCCCTCCCTCCCCTGCTCAGGAACTTCCTAAACACAGTAGCCAAGGACAAACCACGTGGCAGGCACCCTCCCAAGCACCATTAGCTCTTTCACCTCCTTTCCGCTTCCTGTCTGCCACTATGGCCCCATTTCACAAATGAGAAAGCAAAGGGGGTGCAGAGAGGAAAGGAACTGTCCCAACACTGCATGACTAGATAATGTGGGAGGCAGGATTCTGCATCTCGGTACGTCTGCCCCAAGTCTCAGACCCTCCATCTCCGTGAGTCTCCCCTGATCTAGGTCAACAGAGCAGCCACCTCCAGGAAATCGCCTGGACCTCGGCACAGCTCCCACCATGGGCTGTGGGCTGGGGCCCCAGTGCTGCACCTGCTGGCACACAGTAGGAGCTTGTGACTACCTTCCAAATGAGTGGGTGTGTGAGCACACTCACCCCAAACCCTGGGCCTCACCTAGGCTACAGGCAGCCGCTCGGGCCCCCTGGGGTGAGTCTTGCTGGGAATGACCAGGGTGAATTTGGCCTTGGACTGAATGGGGAACAGAGGAAATTGGACGCTGAGTTAAATGCTGCCCACCCTGCCCGAGACTGTAAATGACATTGAATTTGGGAGGGCATGGCACACAGCAGGCACGCCATAAACATGCGATACCCAAGTGATGGGGGATAAAGGAAAACAATCCTGATACTCTCAGTGCCTTTGAAAACGATGGTAAAAACTTGAAAGGAAAACCAACTCTTCCCTGTTGCTCAAAGCCACCAGGTTCTGGGAATGCTACGCTTCTGTGATGTGCAATCCCCTTCCCAGTGTCGCTCTCAGCCCCTCCCTTGCCCAGCAGCAACCATCATAGGGAAGAAGAGCTGCCGCTGGCCAAGAACCCGCTAAAACGCTCTCTTGGCTTTATTCCGGGCTGTGAGGGTTACGGGTGATTGTCGCTGTCTTCACACCGTGGAGTATTGTCTGTGTATTTCCACGACGCACATACATTTAGCTGACGACGGTGGGACGAGGGCTGGTCGGGCTGCCTGCTCCCAGTCTTGATAGAGAGGCTGAGTGTGTGCGCGTGGGGTGGTCCAGTCACCACCCTGCGGTGACACCTCCTGCTTTGCTTTTTATCTTGAGGACAGCGTGGAGCCCCTGAAGGCTGGTGGGAGGGACATGTGACGTGTCAGTCTTCCCGTGGCCTTGGCACAGAGAGCACCTCTGTCAGCATCTCACTGCAGGCTTTCTGGTCCTTTTCCATTAACGTGGAGCCGTGTTTACACAGAGCCGCGTACAGGAGACACACAAAAAGAGGTCCTATTACACGTGCTGCTCTCACTTCACCCGTTTCCCATCTTGGCTTCTGGAAGTGTGGTTTCCATCTTTTTCTCTTTTGTAGACAACGCCGTCGTAAGGATCTTATTAGCAATCGCATCTTTTCTGAGCACCTCATTCGTTATTTCTATAGGACCAGTTCCTAGAAATGAGCCTCCTGGATCCAAGGAAATGGAATTTAAGGCTTTAGATGCAGATCACTAATTTGTCTCCAGAAGGTTTTAAAAAGTCCACGATGTCTCCGGTGTCGGGGTGTGCTCCCCATACTCTCATCATGGGGAGGGAGGCATATGCTAATATTTATTGAAAGCTTCCTGTCAGGAGTGGAGCTACGTGATTTAAGAACAATGGTGTATATTTTCCAAGGGCTTACCGTGCACGGCCACTGGTCAAAGTGGTTTTCATGCAGGAATTCGCTTAATCGTCCTGAGAAAACTGAGGCACAGCTGGGAACCAAACACCCTTTGCTAGGCAAAAGGAGCCTACCCGGGGCCCAGCCTAGTTCACCTGGGACGGCACTGGGGCAAGTGGCTCAAATCTCATGTGACAAAGAGGCACTTGACTCCAAGTCTCAGCTTCCTCATCCGTAAAACGGGAATAACAGCACAGGATGGCTGAGAGGGTTAAATAAAGTGTCTGGCACCTAGCGGGGGCTCAGTTGCTGGAATCCTGCCCACTGTCCCCAGCTCAGGGTGTTGCCTTGAAGACCAGTGGGAAGGAGCAAATGAAGCCGAGAGACAAATGGAGGGTTGGGGGACCTCTCTGGGCTGCGTCTACATCTGAGACAATGGCTTCTGCTCCTTCAAATCAAGCCTGTTCATAGAATGGAAAGGCTGCTTTTCCTGTTTCCCTCTTCCATGCCTGTCCACCCAGCTACCTGTTTGCCACCTCAGACTCTGCACCGGTGTGACATCAGAGAAGGCTGTGTGCTTCTGCTGGGGTCGGCTCCTGGTGGGCAAGAAAGAGTGCATGTACAGGAGTGGGGTGTGTGGTCACTGGCCCAGAAAGGAAGTGGGGCTCTCCTGGTCCCGTGGCCAACCCCACTTCCACTGCAAGCTCTTGGACCCACTGGGGTCTGTCCAGAGGGAAGACAAACAGAGGCGTACAGGAGAGGAAGGGACATTCACCAAGTTCCAGAAAGAATGAGATGGGTGTCACTTCCCAATAGCCGCTAGAAACAGAAGCTTGGAGAGAAAAGTGATTCTCAAGGCTCTGCAGTTGGTGAGGGGAGAGCCTATTTTGAACCCAGCCCTGACACTCATCAGCTGACTGACCCTGAGCAAGGTACTTTCCCTCCCTCCCAGAATCTGCCAAAGGGGTGATAACACCAAGGAGGATTCCAGGGGACAAGGCCAGCAAGCAGCACTGGGAGCTGGGGACCTTGGGCCCAGGACCCTTCCTCCCACTGAGGCTTTTCTGCCTCCGTCTCTACAAAGACCAAAGCCAGTTTATAAGGTGTCTGAGCCCCTCCCTGTTACCTGCTGACCTCACCAGCTCAGAAGGCCCCTGTGGACCAGGGCTGGGCACCTCCCATCTCCCGCATCCTCTGGGACCTCAGGCCACCCACCTGCCTTTGCTCCGGGGGCCTCAGCCACTCGTCTTCCGCCTCTTTCCCATCTGCTCATAAAAATCTCCCTTATCAAAAAGCACACACACAGATAAAGTAAAATAAAATTTAAAAACATGCTCCTCAAACACACCAGCATCAACGAAAATAAAAGCTAAGCCACAATCTGTGAGAAAATCTTGGCCACAAAGAGATGGGATAAGTAACTCACTAATGAGACCAAACAAATGATAAATACACAGAGAACCTGATCATTCATACTCTTTGACCCAGTAATTTCATTTCCAGGAAATAATGAGCAACACACACTGACAGCCTGAGGAAGCACGGACAGTCCCTCTGGGAGCCGGCTCGGGACAGCCCTTCTGAGGTTCATATGCGCTGAGTACCAAGAAACATCCAGCCACATATACAAATGCAGTATTCGGTGGAGTATTATCTAAAAGAGTCAAATATAAAAAAAGCCCAAAATGTCAAATGAGACCCATGAACTGACGGTGACGTAACAACATGGAAGTGTTGAAAAATATAAAAAACAATGTTTGAGAGAGGTGAAGAATTTGGAACATTTATATAGCCAAGAGACTCAAATGACTAAAAAAAGTGTTTTAAAAGTCTGGCAAAGAGGGACATTTTAACAATAGGTATCTCCAAGTGATGGAACTATGGAATCTTCCCCCCTAGTGAGCACCTACGGCTCCAGGCAAGGATGGATTGACAGCTGGAAGTTGTGGCCACACCTGGAAAGTATCCTATTAAGAGGAAGTGCATTCCGGAGAGCACAGCCAGTAGAACTTGGGTGGCCAGGTCCATGGTGTAGCTAAACACCCGACCCTGGGGGAAAGAGAACCAGGAGGGGGCAGCAGCTGGGGGGAGGGGCGGGGGGGGTATGCTGGCCGGGGAAAGGCTGCTCCCACACTTCAAGCTTCTCTTTCTCATTCGCCCCTTCTTCCATTTGCTGCAAATGTCTGGGTCTCACTGTGCCCTGGTCCCAACCCAGACTTTGGGGAGGCGGCACCCCTGCTGCCCTGGGTGCTTGCAGCTCAGCATTCAGGACCCCCATGGCTGGGTGGGTTTGGAAATTGCCGGCTGGAGCTGATGTGGTGGGTCACAACCTCCTGGTGTTCTGAGTAAGCCGAGAGATTCTGCCAACCTTGACACACACACACACACACACACACACACACACACACACACACACACGGGGCTCTGGGGACATCACACACACATCGGGAGCAACCCCACCAACGTAGGCTGCTAGAAGGCTTCAATTGGCACAAGGAAACAAAACGCATTTTTAAGAATTTCCATTTCCGAGTCTGTCCTCTAATACTGAGCTGTCCTAGCAGACAAGCAGGGACAGGCACCGAAGGCCTAAGAGGAAAAGGAACAACAGACGATTCCATCTAGACCCTTCCTTTCTATTCCTTTGTATTTGGGCCTGACCTGGCGACTCCCCCCAGGGGATCAGGGCTGTGGGAACACGGAGTGCAGGCGTGAGCATGGGGGGGTGTAGTCCCGGCCAGCCTGGGCCCTGCCATGTCACCCTGGGCGGTGTGGCTCCCCCCTTCTTTGGGAGGAGGTGACAAAGGGAAAGTCCTTGGGCAGCTGGAGGAGAGGGCAGGAGGGCCAGAGGGGGTCACACCAGGTGCTCCAGGGTATCTGGTGAATGATGGGATAAACGGCTTTCCGTGACTCCCACGGGCCCGAATGCAACAATCACTCAGTATTTGGGGGAGACGGAACGGGTATCCTCCTGAGAGAGGGGTGGTGGCAGGGGAGCTGGCTTTTAACCCTCGCAGAGCCAGAGGCTCAGCTGCGTCTGGCAAGACGGTGGGGACTTCTACCCTCAGGTGTCAAATGAGGAAACGGGCCAGGGGGCTCCCCCGGCCGCGAAGAGACGTGGACTCCGAGACCGGCCCTCCCCGCAGCACATCACAGCTCCCCGTTCACTCCATCCTCCCCATCTGGAGAAGAGGGAGGGAGCCAGGCACGCCGGAAGGAGGGGTCGTCTGCAGATCCGGATCCTGAGAGGCAGCGGAGGCCCGACTTCGCGACTTCTCAGCTCTCGCTCGGGCCGTTCCCTCCACCTGGAGGGCCCCTGCCCGCCTCGGGGCGGCCACAGCCTCAGCATCTCCGGCCCCGGCAGCCCGCCCCACCGCCGGCCGCTCCCCACCGCTCTCCCTCCAGGGCCAGGGGCGAGCGCAGCCCCGCGGCCGGGCCTCCCGGGACGACTCCGCGGCCCCCAGACAGCGCGGCGCTCCGAACCCCAGGTCGCGGCGCGGGGCGGGCGGCGCCGGGCTTCCAGCCCCCACGACCCTCGCCCCCCGCGGTGCCCGGCCCGGGCGGGGCTGCTCCGGGGGCTCCGGGGCGGGGCAAGCCTCCCCGAGCGGGCCGGGCTCCCGCGCCAGCCGCCCCACTCAACTTCGGGGAGCAGCGTGGGGGCGGCTGCGGCCGAGCACCGCCGCGCCCGGTCAGCGCGCACTCAAGTGCCCCCTCGGGAACAGGTGGCCCGGGCAGCGGCCGCGCTCTCCCAGCCCCGTCCTTCTCGGAGCGCCCCTCCCTGCCGAGGCCGGGGCGTCCCCAGCCCAGCGTGCCGGACCCCCACACCCACGCACCCTCCGCACGGTCCCTGTACCTCCGGCTCCCGAGGCGGCTGGCGACGGATAACGTCGCCCCCGAGCCCGGCCGGCGGGAGCGCCGCCCCTCCGGCCCGGGGCGTGGTCAGCGCCTCGCCCCGCCCGCCCCGCGCCCCTGCTGAGTCCCGGTGTCCTCAGCCCGCGGGTCCTCCTCGTCCCCGGCAGGTGCTGCACCATCCCCAGCCCTCGGGCCGGCAGGTATGGAGTGCACCCGGGGTCTCCCTGCCGCCAGCTCTGTGGGTTTACAAGCCCATTTCCCCCATTTCACAGGTGAGAAGACTGAGGCTCCATGCGGTTAAGGAACTTGAAGGTCACACAAGTGAGAAGGGGAGGTCAGTGTAAGTGACTGAACCAGGGCTTGCCTGTTGCCGCCGCCCAGAATACATTTATTACCCTCCCTCCTCAGCTGACTGGTGCCCAGTCAGAAAATGGAGACCCTCCCTGCCAGCTCCAGGAACAGTCCGGCACTTAGTACGTGCGCTGTAATTATCCTTTGAATGAAGAAATCAGAAGACAATTCCCGCCAGGACCAGGCTGACCCCACACCCCCTCCACTTGTCAAGATCCCACGCTTCAAGCCAACACTGACCCAGCAATTCTACCCCCTCTCCCCACTTCCCTCTCCATTCCACAGGCTGTTCCTTCTCTCATCTTACAATTAAAACAAGTCAACAAAACCCCTCCTAGGACCCCTCTGCCCCCTCCAGCTATTGCTGCCTCACTTTTCTTCTTCCCTTTATTCAAAAGCTCTGCTGGAGTTGTCTCTGCACCCTGTCTGCAGTCTCTCTTCCCTTTCTCCCCTGCACCCTCTCCAGTCCAGCTCCTGCCCCTTTCTCCCCACGAATCCGCTAAATCTGTTATTTTTGGTCCCCAGTGATGTCCATGTTATCAGGTCTGTGCGGAGTCTCCACCTTTGTCTGATTGGTCCCTCCAGTGGTACTTGTCACGGCTGCCGGCTCCCTCTTCTCGGAAACACCTTCCCGGACACCATGCTGGTCCGTCCTCCTCCTCCCTGGCCAACCCCCATGCTCCTTTGCAGACCCCCTCTCCTCCCCATGCTCAGCTCTTGATCTGCTCCTCCCCGCCCCACCCTGTCACACTGCCCCCTGGCTTTGAAGACATCTGTCAGTTGATGATGCCCAAACGTGGCCAGGGCCACACTTCTCACTCCACCCCGAGTCCAAGCCACCAGACTCTCCCAGGCTGAGTGCAGGGATCCCTCTCACTGGTATTCCGCCTCCCCGACACCCCGCTCCAAATAGCACCAGAGGGATGGCAGTAGAGCCAGGTCAGGTCACATCCCTCCCCTGCCTCACTCTGACCTCATCCCCTTCTTCTCTATCGAGGACTCTGCCCGGCCACACTGGCCTCCTTGCTGGCGCTCACCCCCGCCCCCCACTCCCACTCCTCTGCCTGGAACAGCCTTGCCCAGGTATTTACACAGCTCTGTCCCTCACCTCCTTCACGTTCAAGCTTCAATGTCAGCTTCCCGGATCCTGTTTCAAACTGGACATGCCCATCCTGCCTTGACTTTTCACCATACACTTATGTGACATGCTTTATGTCTCACGTATGCATTTATTTTATTGCCAATCCCCTGTACTAGAATGCGAGCTCCACAGGGCAGGGGTTCCTGCTGACTTATTCCCTGCTGTGTCTCCCTCCTGGAACAGTGCCTGAAACAGAGTAACCAGGCACGCAACAAACATGTGTGGAATGAATAAACCTGTACCCTTTCGCTGCTGATAATACTCTCGATACATTTTCTTTCTATTGACGTTTTAATTCCAATAGATACTTAAAAAAATATATTTTACTGGGGAATTGGGGGAGGGGAACAGTGCTGGGGAATCGGGGGAAGGGGAACAGACAAGTTGCTGTTGTTTTGTTCTTCAGTCTAGTTGTGGAGGATGTGGCTTCACTGGCCCAAGCTGGCACCATCATTGCGCTCTTCCTGGGCGAGGCAGATCAGTCGCCGGCCTCTGGACGGCCGCTCACACTGGCTGCCGGCCACACACAGTAGCTTATGGCAGCCCCCTGCAGCAGGGGACTGCAGCCTACGCCCTCGCCGGCGACCCACGGCAGCCCAGCCCCAGGTCGAGCTGCCATTCACCATCTTAGCTGCAGAGGGCAGTGTCACTGGCCCTCATATGTGGAATCCGAACCGCGGCCCTCTGGCATCCCAAGCCAGTTCTTAACCAACGAGCCACTGGGCAGGCCCTCCAATAGATGCTTTTTAAAAGGAAACTTTGTATTACTGCCCTAGAAGGAACACCACTACCACTGACCTAGAATAGGAGAGTAGTAAAATTGAGAATAAAACAATGTTCTAAGGCTCTGGGGAGCCCACTGCCTGTCTGAAGGCTGAGCCCCCTCCTGCTGACCCTTGTTAAAAAGTGAGACCACAGGTGGTGTAGAGAGATAGTCAAGGCAGGCCAGCACCCAGTGAAGACTCGCCCCTGGACCTAAACAGGGTGGATTAAAAGAGAGTTGAGAAGGAAATGGCTTTCTTTTGGTCGTCATCACTTGAGCTATGGCTAACACCACAAGCTCTTTCTGGCTCCCCAGGCAAGAAACTGCATGTTAAGGTGAGTAGAGTTTGGAAATTGAGTTTACCTCACTCCGAGGGTGCAATGGACGCTGAAAACAAATTCCTTCTAGTCTGACCTGGCCTGGCTGTTGGGGAAGCCTGGGGGGAAGGCATGGAGGAAGAGGGCATGCCCTGGCCTCAGTTTACCCGCCTGTAAGCTGCTGCTGGGGACACAGAACCTGGCCACCCTGAGTCTTGTAGACGCCTGGGAAGGAGGTGTGTCCTCTCTCTCCTGCAAGGGCTGTGGCTGTACACTCTTTCTCGTGGACCAGGAGTGGGGAGTGTGTAGACTGGAGCTCCACGGTGTCTCACCACCACATGAGGGACGGGTCTGCTTCAGAATAGAGCCCACCCGGGAGGCTGAGCCGTGGGACACAAACACAAGGGCACGGGGTCTCCCAGAGCCTGTGTGCCCACTGGGCTGCCTGAGCGACCCTTGGACTTGCCCATCATACACTTTGGTTTAACCAGATGGGCTAGATTCTTTTTTCCTTGTACATAGAAGAACCCTAATTGACACACTTCTCAACTTCTGGCACTTTCTGCTCCACCCGTAAGCAAGCTGGAGCCTCTCCCATCTTAGTAAAGAGGACAAGGAAAAGCAACACGCACACACACACACACACACACACACACACACACACACACATAAACATACACAAGCTGCCCCCGTGACCTCCAATTCTCTCTTCCCTTCAGCCAGGAGTCTCAAAAGAGACACCTCCACTTGTTGTTTCTCATCCTTCCCTTCCTAGTCTCCCTTGTCTATTCTCATCTGCTTCCTGTCCCCTACTGAAGATGGGGGCTCTTGTCACAGTGAGCCACCTGTGGCCAAACCCTGTCAATATAGGATTAACAACAATATTGTTAACCTTTGTAACAAAATCACAGGCTGAAAGAATTTACTGTAACCTTATGACCTTAAAAACATAGGAGTATTTCCAGCTTTGTTTCTGACAAGAGTGGCCCCAAAGCCACAGTAACTTTAGCCCCACTCCCCTGCCACGTCTCATGGGCATCCCAGTGCCCAGACTTTGGTCTCTAAAACCTTCTCCACTAAAGGAGACCAGAATTCCTTGGAGCATAAAAAAAAAAATTAGAATGGTCCCGAATGTCCTGTTATGGCCAGGAAATAAGGCGACCCTCAGAAATTTTAGGGGAGCAAAGAAGAGACAATGGAACAATCAAAAGTTTTCTCCAATGCTAGCCATGCTGTATAATATGAGTATCAAAAATTATTGGGCCGGCCGAGTGGCGCGATGGTTAAGAACTCGCTTGGAATGCCAGAGGGCCCCGGTTCGGATCCCACATATGAGGGCCAGTGACACTGTCCTCCCCAGCTAAGATGCTGAACAACAGCTCAACCTGGAGCAGGGCTGCTGTGAGTCGCCGGCGAAGGCGTAGGCTGCAGCTCCTGTGGCAGTGGGTTGCCATGGGCTACCGTATGTAGCCAGCAGCCAGCGTGAGCGGCCAGCAGCCGCTGTGAGTGGCCGTCCAGAAGCCAGCGACTGATCTGCCTCACCCGGGAAGAGTGCAATGATGGTGCCAACTTGGGCCAGTGAAGCAACGTCCTCCACAACTAGACTGAAGACCAAAAAAAAAAACAGCAACTTGTCTGTTCCCTGTCCCCCAATTCCCCAGCACTGTTCCCATCCCCCCAATTCCCCAATAAAAAAAAATCTTTTTAAAAAAATTATTAATTGACAGGTTGGCTGAGTGACTCAGTTGATTAAGAGTTGGCTTGGGAGCGCAATCTCTGAGCAGCAGGGTCGCCGGTTCGGTTCCCACATGGGCCAGTGACACTGCCCTCTACAGCTAAGATGGTGAACAATAGCTCGACTGGGAGCTGGGCTGCCATGAGTCGCCGGCGATGGCGTAGGCTGCAGCCCCTGCTGGAGTGGGCTGCCATGAGCTACCAACCGTAAGTGGCCGACAGCCAGTGTGAGCAGCCCGCGGGTGGCAGCCCGCGAAGAACCGCCATGAGCCGCCGTGAGCCGCCGTGAGCAGCCATCCAATGGCTGGCGACCGACTGCCTCAGCCAAGAAGAGAACAATGATCATAATAACCAACATGAGCCAGTGAAGCGGCGTCCTCCACAACTAGACTGAAGAATAAAAAAAGACAGCAACTTGGGCCAGTCGAGTGACTCAGTTGGTTAAGATTTGGCTTAAGAGCGCGAGCTCTGAACAACAGGGCCGCCGGTACGATTCCCACATGGGCCAGGGACACTGCGCCCGAGCTGAGCTGTCGCTGAGCTGCCAACAGGTGGCAGGATGTCTCAGCTGGTGTAACAACAAGATTGCCTGTTCCATGGTGGGCTATGCCCACCCGCAACTAAGACTGAACTCGGCACCTTGAGCTGAGCTGCTGCGCAGATGGGTCAGTGGATAGAGCTCATGCTCTTAACAACAAGGCTACTGGTTCGACTCTGGCATGGCATGGTGGCTACGCCCACCTGCAACTAAGATTGAACACAGCACCTTGAGCTTAGAGGCCACAAGCTATGGACTGGCGCCCTCCACAACATGAGCCCTTCACAATGAACATTGAAGAACAAAAACTTGGCTGGTCCCCTCCCCCAATTATCCAATAAAATCTTAAATAATAATAATAATAATAAAAAAGACAGCAACTTGTCTGTTCCCCTCCCCGAGTTCCCCAATAAAATCTTTTAAAAAATTATTAATTGAAATAATTATAGTTAATTTGAATAAGTTCACTCTGTGAAAGGTTACGGCTCTAATGAAGAAAGTTAACATAAAGCATTTAAAGAGAGTTGTAACATAAGCAAGATGACTATCATATGACGTGTTTGCATTTGTATAAATCTTAATAAGTTGGGCTGTGTGTTTTGTTTCTTTTATTGATGTTAACAAATTAGAGAGGCATGTTTGCTTTATCTGTGTAATAAGAAAAGCATACTCGCAGCTGTAGGCTGGGCCCTGTGGGGGCAGGAACCACACCAAGGAAAAGAACAGACCAGCAGCCACTGGTGGCCAGAGAATCGCTGGATGAACGAGGCTCCTTCAGACACACAGCACAGTGGTCACCCTCTGTTGTTCAGGAGAAGGAAGGTTCAACAGAGAATGTCCAAACTGATTAACTAGCCAAGTGTCCCCCCAGAGAGAGGCAGCCAAGCCCTGTGTCCCAGCCAAGGACTAGGGTCAAACATCCAGATGGAGTGACCTTAGCTTGTCTTGGGAGATTATCACAAACATGAGAGGGTATCCAAATTCCACCACCAAAGCCCCAGGGAGAAACCAAAGCAAGTACAACAAAATCCCCGAGAAGAAGCAAAAACAAGGCTGGAAGGGATGCAGACATGAATGGTGCCTGGCCGTGACATTTTAGAAGAGTTTTAAGTATAAATGTTATAACAGGACTGTTCTCAGATCTAACCATAAGGAACCTGTAATTGCAGTTTAAATTGTTGACGGGGATTGACTTAATCAAGTTTGTTATCAAGGTTGGAATACTCAAGAAAAACTGGATTTCTAAGTTTCGTTTATGAGTTGGAAGATCTTTAAGGAAGTCCTCATCTGTGGCTGTCCCTTCTAGGAACTGAGATCTCTTAATAGTAATACCTCGATCAGCAAATGCAGTATGTGTGTGGGGGGTCAGGCTGACTCTGACTTCTGGTGGCATTTGACAGTTGACCATGAACTCTCTGTGCCCTTGGCCTCCTGCCCGCCTGACTGGCCATTCTGTGGAGGACGCTTGGTTCCCAGCCCAGCCCTCCCATACTGGCGTCCCTGGGTCCTTTCCCAGGACCCTCTCCCTTGCCCTGCACGTTGCCCAGGTGGTCTCATGCATATGTGGCCTGGCCTCCATCCCACCATGGCCCCCTCCCAAAGCTGAGCCCTAGTCCAGCCCTCCAGGAGCCACTGGTTCCCGTTTCAACCTCTTGAAATGGTGACATCGACCCTCTTGGGCCCTCATCTGCCCGCGCCGCCCTGATCCAATCAACCACCAACTCTTACCAATTGCACCTCCTCTGTGTCTTCTCCTTTCCATCCCTCTACAGCAGCCTTCAGCCAGCTGTCAATCATCACAGTCCTTTGTGAGCACTCACGATCCTAGAAATACAAGGATCCTGGGGTCAAGGACAAGGGCCTGCCGTGAGGAACTTAAGCCAGCGCTTCT